TTCTGTTGCTGAGTAGTTGTTCCATTTATTATTGATTTGAAAGAGTATGTCATTTGTCCTGGATTCCAACCCTTTGTTGGTTACTTACATTGCAAATATCATTTCCCAGATTGTTTGCTTGGCTTCTCACTGTGCCTTTGTTGAGTCACTGTCCAGCAGTTTTTCTTTTTTTCTGAGACAGAGTCTCGCTCTGTCACCTGGGCTGGAATGCAGTGGCATGATCTCAGCTCACTACAACCTCCACCTCCGAGGTTCAAGTGATTCTCCTGCCTCAGCCTCCCAAGTGGCTGGGATTACAGGTATGCACCACCATGCCTGGCTAATTTTTGTATTTTTAGTAGAGATGGGGTTTTACTATGTTGGCCAGGTTTGTTTTGAACTCCTGACCTCATGATCTGCCTGCCTCGGCCTCCCAAAGTGCTGGGATTACAGATGTGAGCCGCTGTGCCTGGCCCCAGCAGTTTTTCATTTGAATAATGTAGTAAATTTCATCAGTTTTTTTCCTCTGTGTTTTTTTTTTTGAGTGCCTTGAAAGAGAATCTTTCTTTACCTTGACTCATGAAGATATTCTGCCATATTTTCTTCTAAAATGAACGAGTTTGCTTTTCCCCATCTCCTCCCCTTGGCTTTTTCTATAGTCCACAAACACTGGGTGCACCATTAGGAGTAGGGGGCTGTGGTACTGACAAGCTCAGGAACAAAAGCCTCACTGGGGGTCTGGGTGGTCAGCCTCGGACTTCAGCGAAGGGTTTGCTGGGTGCTGCTCATGATCTGTGAAGTGCCCAGAAGGGAGGCCTAGGACACCAGCTGTGCAGGGGCCAGTTGGACAATGGGCAGAGGGAGGGAGGGAAGGAGGCAATGTGGTGGGTGCCCAGGAGATCCATTCTGGGGTACACTGAGTACCATGGCCTCTGGATTAGTCAGTTGTGACTGTCTCCCATGTGGTGTCTTTCATGGGCCTCTGGATAGGGGCCCGGGACGGGGGAAGGCATCTGTTTCAGTGACTCTACCCTTTACTAGCATGTGGCTTTGGGCAATAGCGTCACCTGTGGGCACGTGGGTGTCATCACCTGTGTGGCTTAGCTGGGACAGTGTCTGAGCAGGGCTTAGCTGGCTCCCAGCCCATGCTGGTGTCTATTGGTGTGGTTTCCTATCAGTGGCCACAACGGAAGGCCGTTTGCACCATGGCGCCCTCTGCACCTGGCAGAACACCTGGCATGTGGCTAGCTTTCAACAAATATTGGTTGTTTAGTAGTTTTTTTCTGGTCATACTTTAAAGGATCATTTGTTGGTTGTCTTCTTGCTACAGTTCACTCACCTGCTTGTTCATTCATTCATTTGTTTGACGATAGGTGTTGGGCCCCTGGTCTGTTCTGGCCACTGTGCCTCAGTTTCTTCCGCTGTGTCGTGGGTGTCTGTGGGAGAGTCCTTGCTCTGGCCCTCAGTCCTTGCTCTGGCCAGGTCTGGCTTGTGTGATTTCCCAGAGTAACCAGAAGGGGGCACCCAAGGACCGAGGATTGTCCCAGGTGGGCCCTGGCCCTGCTGGGGCCTTGGGTTCAAGCTGCGGTGCCCAGCCACACGTAGTGGTAGCTCCGCATTCTTGTCCTTTCCTTCCAGGCTGGCTTCTCATGCCCCTTGGTGGTGTGATGTCAGGAGAGGAGAAACTAGGATTGTAGAGGCAGATGCCACACACAGGCTGCCAGCCCAGTACCCCCGCCAGCTGGGCCCTGACGCACAGGGTCTGCTTCTGCTCCCTAGCCTCTCTAACCCCATGGGAAAACAGGTTTTCATTTTGTGGGAGGGAGAACTCTGTGGCTGAAATGGATAATTCTCTAATCAGATTTTGGGGTGCAGTTGAATAGCTCAGGGTCCCCTGGAAGTATCCCCTTACCAAAGCCCATGGGTCTCGACTGGGCACACCTGTGAGTCTGCTCTGGCCCTGTCTCCGGTCACCCTCTCCTTGTGCCAGGCTCTGAGACACTAGGCCAGCTTTACCAGCAGCATGGTGGGGACTGCTCTGACCCTAACTCCGCACGTGTGCAGCCTGGGGCTGGAGATGGATGACCCTCCCAGCCCAGGGGAGAGCACTGGCCTGGGAGGAGGAAGGAGGCAGCAAGGACGCACCTGGGCCCTGCCTGTGGAAATTGGCCCCTTGGTCTCAGAAAGGAGTAGAACTGGGCTTGGGAAAGGGAGGGCGCCTGAAGGGGAGATGTCTGGATGCAGTTTGATCCAAGTCATTTGGGGGTGCAGGAGACATCCCTGGAGTCATAGCATCTAGGCTAGGGAGAAATCTGGGGGGGGGGTCTACAGCCATAGCACCCAGAATGCACCCAGTCTCATCTGAACCCCAGGCATGGGGCTGCTAGAGAAGCAAAGTAGGTACTCCCACTGCAGTGAGTGGTGCTCCCGCTGCAGTGAGTAGTGCTCCTGCTGCAGTGAGTGGTGCGCCTCGTCCCAGGCTGGTGGCCTCGGGTGGGCCACCACTGTACCCTGTGCACCCTGTCCCTCCTCAGCAGCCACCTGTGGACACCCAGCTTCCTTTGACAGGCCCAGAGCATCTCCCTCCTTCTCCTGCCCTTGATGCCACAGGGTGAGGGGTGGAGGCCAGCTACAGGGGCAGGCCCTTTCCTGCCTTGCCTGCCCTCAGGGCAGCATGCAGCAGGACCCCAGGCACACCCTCGGCCTGATAGTCTTTGGTGGGTAGTTGTACCCTATTCCTGGACTTAGCAGGAATGATGGTCACCGATAGGGACATTCTGGCCACTTGGTTCCCGGCCTGCCAGGCCTCCCACCCTTGTCGAGTCTTCTGGGTGAGGTGAGTGTCCAGGGCGTGGTCTAGCCTCAGTGTTGCCCCGAGTCCTCATGGTGTCGTGCAGCCCGTCTTGGCACTGTCCCCTGAGCCAGATGGACCCATCTGTTCTGGATGGCTGATGCTGGAAGTAGGGTGCCTCAGGGCCTGTGGCTGCTGTGGGGGCCTGGGGAATGTGGTCAGACTAAAGCCCCTCGGGTCCTGGCCTGGTGGGGTCACTTGTCACACAGTGTGTGATGCTGATAAGTTATCGCCTCTCAGGGTCTCTGCTTCCGCTTCTGTAGAAAGGAATCAAGCATCTTGACCTCCCAGGAGTATGCCCTGCAGTGAGCAGTCACTGAGGAGAGCTGGGATTATCATGACCACTGTTGTTGACCCATTGCACCACAAGGGTGACCACACGGGCTGCAGGCGAGGATGGCAATATCCCATGGGGAGCCATCTGATGGTGGGTCCTGGGAAAGGAGGCTGGGGCTGCATGGAGTAGGACAACACGGGGTTATCACCTGCAGTGGGCAGGGCCGACCCAGCCACCCCCAGGCCCTCCCCTTCAGGCACCCTGCTGCCTGCTCTGGCCTCCTCTCACCAGCTCCTTTGGTGAATCCTGGTGCTTACTTCTCCTTGGCTAAGACTCTCTTGGACCCTCCCTGCTCAGCATGTGCCTTCCCTGTGGGGCACTGTTTGGAGGAACGAGGTGAGTCTGCTCAATGGAGTTTCCAGCACCTCTTCCCACTGGACCCTGGAGCCCTGGCAGGTGGAATGTGGGCAAGGAGGAGACTTCCAAGAAGCTGCCCAGGTGACTTTGAGCTGTCAGGATGGGGAAGGACATGTCAGGCAAAGGGATCGTTGGGAGCAAGAGCGGGACGAGGCAGGCTCAGGAGGACCAGTGCAGGTGAACTGCGGGGAAGACAGAGCCAGAGAGCCTGACCGCACCCAGGGCTCCTCTGCAGCCTGCGGGGAACTGGAGACTCCTGACTGGGTTCTGGGAACCAGGAGAAAGCACCCTCCGGGGAAGGCCTCCTCTGATCCTTGCACACATGAGGAAGGGAGGCCCAATCCCTTTCTCCCTTTAGCTGTGTATTTTTAGATTAAAGATGCTCACGGTGAAATTACTGCTCTTTTCACAGTTGGCATTAAAAGCACAAAATAAGCCTCAATGATTGTAAGTCACACGTTATTTCTTCGGTAACAGAAGCCCCTTTGGATTCTTGTTGTTTGGTGACGTAGGAAGGTGTGAAGGGAGTCCCTGCGTGGGCTCAGGAGTGGGGATGGGGCAGTGACAGCGCCAGGGCTGCGTGTGTATCTGTGCGTGTGTGCACGTGCCTGTGTGCATGGGTGTGTGTGTGCGTGCCGACCCCCCACTTTGGTTGAGGTCCTTCTTTGAGGCGGCGGCTGCAGGCTGGTTCTGTGCTGCTCCCTGCAGCCTCTTGTCTTGTGCAGGTGCAGAGCCAGGCGAGGACCCCAGCAGCAGGAATGATCAGTGTCTCTGCTCCTCCAGGGTGAGCAGGACAGCTCCCAGGTCTGGTGAATCCTGGCCTGGCTGCTCCCTGACCTCAGGCACCTTTTCTCATCTGTAAAATGGGCACCTCTGGAAACCTGCCCAGGTGGGGTGTTCCATAAAATCATTTGTAAGGAGCCCGGCTCCGTGTCTGGTTCGCAGCAAGCAGGTCCTTGGTGAATACATTCCATTGACTTCTCATCAGCACTTTTCTACTATATCCAGATACCTCTAACCACACAAGCCAGTCAGTGAGCACTGCATGCTCAGGGACCCCGCCTCCCCAACACCCTGCAAGGTTTGCCCTACACTGCTGGGGGCACAGGCATCCTCCAGGCCTCCAGGGCACCTCTTCCACCCTGTAAGAGGACTCTGAGCTTGGCTGAGGTGTCTGCATGGTGGGAGGGGTCCAGGGGATGGCACAGTCTGGGTCAGTGTTGGGTGGGATCTTGGGGGCAGAGGGAGGGGCAGGAGTCGTCATCACCCCCAAACCTCCACACCAGGACTGCATGGACCTGGCAGTTTCTCCTTTCAGTTTCTTTCCTCTCGTGATGTTTATTCTTGATATTCATTGCAAAATGACTCTACCTAAATGTGTGGAGGTATAGGGGTGGGAGTGGAATATGGAACCTCAGTATGACACCACATTTAGCCACAGGTCAGCCACACACACAGCACACTGGGACAATGCCATGCTCCATTCAGGGTATTTTATTTTCTTAAAGTAGACAACCTTTGACTCTCATCCAGTCACCAGCTTCTCTTTCCCCCATACATCTCGTCAAGTCCTTGGCCGTGATTCTGCACACTGACCTTGGACACACAGCTACTGCACAGAGAGAGGGAGGGAGAGCTGGTATGGGCTCCGGCGGCCTTCTCCTCTCTATGGCGGAGTTCCCATTTACACGCAGCCCTTGGTGAAGGTCCTTTCAAGGCGATTGCCCACAGGCCCTGGGACCGGAAGGCCCAGATTAGGGTCCCAGCAGGGCCTCCCTCAGGCCACAACGCTGGCTGTGCCTTCACAGGAGTCGGAGCGTTCCCAGCCAGTCTCAGGCGCGGGCATGCCGGGACCAGGGGCGCCACTTCTTGCTCCCTTCCTTCACTCAGCAAAGCCACAGATAATTTACTCTTTAAATACCAAGACACTTAGCTATTGTTCATTTGCTTCCAGGTGAAAGAACCCTCTTTAAATACATCGCATTTATTTTCTTAAATAAAAACAAAGCAGAAAACCGCACCATTAACAAGAGGACACTGCAGAGGCTTATGTACAACACGTGTCCCGTGAGGCTGGCGCAGGACTGCCACTCACTCCAAAGCCTCTTTGGAGCAAAGAGACAGAATCGTCCAGATAACAACTTTTACACTCAGCAAGCCAGACACAAAAAAGACCACCCGAAAAAAAAAATATCTTTTGAAAATCTGCATTTAAAAAAGAATACTCAACCGTGTTTGAAATTTTCTGGATTTTTTTCTGCGAAACACCACAAGATTTGGCCAGAAAAAAAAAAAAAAAAAAAAAAAAAAAAAAAAAAAAAAAAAAGAATGTCAGAGAGGGAAAACCAGGTTTTGATTTATAAAACATCAGACTAGTAGAAGAAAAGCTGGAATCCCAGCTGGCCTAGTTTGAAATAAATCGTGCCACTCGTTTTATTGTGTCGGTTTTTGCTGCATATTTGAAGCTGTTTAAAAAGAGTTGTGAGTGGCTGGAGGTCTGGTTAGTGCTGTCACCTGGCTCCTAAGGTCCCGGGTCCAGAATGAAAGTGGTGCGGAGCAGCTGTGTGCAGGCCAGCAGGGGAGGTGCACAGACCCTGCACTGGTCCTCCCTCTTGGTCAGCAGCAAGGTCCCTAGGCCAGAGCTCGGGCAGTGAGCTGGACCTCCTCCAGGCGACAGGTGTGCACCTGGCCAAACCTGGCTTCAGTCCTGCTGCCTATCCCCAACAATCCAATGCAGACCCCCAAGTGGAGTGGGGCCAACTCCAGAAGGCAAAGTGAAGGGGCAGGATGAGCTCATAGTGACCTTGTGACAGCTTCTAAGTCTTCAAGAGACCTTGACATTTTAGAGGATTTTGCCATCTCCAGATGTGTGTGTGTGTGTGTGTGTGTGTGTGTGCGCGCACACGTGTGTGTGTCTATCTACCTAGCAATCTATCCATATATATTTATGTTTGCAGAAATGTGGGGCCAAGGAGGCAGAGGCCAAGGGGCGGGGGACATTCTTTAGGTCCCTGTTTTCTGCCCCTGGGTTGGGCCTCTCTAGCACGCGTTGGGGCATGACACCCCGTGGGTTTCACCACAGGTAGGCGGGCCTGGGCCCGGCTCCTCAGCAAAGGCCAATGTACTTGAGATTGTTCTGTATGATGACGTCTGTCACTGCGTCAAAGACGAACTGGATGTTACTGGTGTCGGTGGCGCAGGTGAAGTGGGAGTAGATCTCCTTGGTCTCCTTGTTGCGGTTGAGGTCTTCGAACTGCCGCTGGATGTAGACGGCGGCCTCCTCGTACGTGTTCTGGCCCTTGTACTCGGGGAAGCAGATGGTGAGCGGGATGCGGCGGATCTTCTCTGCCAGCAGGTCCTTCTTGTTCAGGAAGAGGATGAGTGAGGTGTTGATAAACCAGTTGTTGTTGCAGATGGAGTCGAAGAGGCGCAGGCTCTCTGCCATCCGACTCTAGGGAAAGGAAAGTACTGGCATTCATCAGGCCTGCAGCAGGCAGAGGCAGACCCTAGACCTGCAGCCCTGCCGGAGGGAGCACCTGCCAGGGTCTCCAGCCCAAGGCTGGTCCCTGCAATGGCAACTCCATCTGTTAGGGAGGCCCAGCCTAAATGTCCTCACCCACCTCCCACAGAAATAGCCGACACCACCCTCCTCGCCTGTGGCACGTGCTTGGAAGATGTTCTTTTACCCTGTTTGGGTCTCTCCTCTGGGTGCCAGTGACCTGAGCATATAGCTTTGGGGCTGCAGCTGTGCCAAGCACAGCCTCCTAAACCCCTGGGCACCTGCAGCTCCGAGGATCCCACAGTCTTCCCATCTGCAGGCTTCCCCACACCCACACATGGAAGCCCATCTGCTGCAGGAGCCCTCGTCATGTCACAGCTGCCTCAGTGCAGGCATACGCAGCCTTGTGTCCTATCTGGGTTCTGGCTGAGTCCTTCAAAACTCCGATCCCTCTGTGTGGTACCACTGGATACCAGGAAGTCTGTGAGGGAGCAGCCTTCACTTCTGTAACCAAGGTCTCCACTTCTCAAGAGTCTCCAAACACCAGCCCGGGTCCAGGATTCTCCACCCTCCAGCTGTGGAGGGGCATCTGGTGCCACCCTACAGGGCATCTGGTGCCACCTCTCTGCCCAGGCAGGACCCTGGCATCCTGGAAAGAGCTCTTGGTACCTGCAGAGGACAGGAATTTTGTGGCCCAGGAAGTGGCAGCAACCACAGTGGAGAGTGGTGCCCAGCCGCTTCTCAGTTCTTTTCTGAGAACCTTCTACGTGTTATAGTCAGGAGTCTGGGCTTTTAAGAAGCATGATGCTTTTGTCTGACTCCCCAGTTCACCACTTCCCTACAAAATGAACACATTCTAACTTCTAAAAGGGGTAACTACCTGGAATTGCTGTTGGCCAAAGCTGCCCCTGCTTCTGAGATAAACTGAATGAGCAAAGTATCCAAAGTCTGGAACCAGTCTGGCTTAGATCTGATGCTTCAGATTTAAGAACTTTTCTGGCCAGGTATGGTGGCTCATGCCTGTAATCTCAGCACTTTGGGAGGCTGAGGTGGGTGGGTCACAAGATCAGGAGTTCAAGACCAGCCTGGCCAACATGGTGAAACCCTGTCTCTACTTTAAAAAAAAAAAAAAAAAAGCTGGGCATGGTGGTGGGCACCTGTAGTCCCAGCCCCTTGGGAGGCTGAGGCAGGAAAATTGCTTGTACCTGGGAGGCAGAGGTTGCAGTGAGCCGAGATTATGCCACTGCACTCCAGCCTGAGTGACACAGTGAGCCTCCATCTCCAAAAACAAACAAAAAAACCCAACACACAAACTTTTCTGACTAGACTACATCACAGTGACCATGGTAATGCAAGTGGTAACTGCAGCTGGTGGCGATGACTCGGGCACAAAGCAACAGCATCACTAATGACTACAGTGACAATGATGCTGGTAACCACAGCTGGACGTGAGCTGCCAGCTTGTTCTCACATCTTCCCACTCCTGTTTCACAGATGAAGAAACTGAGTCTTGAAGAAGCAGGGTATGTGCTCCAAGCCCCACAGCCAGGCATTCTGGCTGGCTGCTCCTGCAGGGTGGACCCAAATGAGGCTGCCCGAGGGTCAGGTTATCCAGAATGCTGCACAGAAACCCTGCTCTCCAGAGCCCCTGGGTTCTCTGAGGAATGGCTCTGGCAGCATCTGTGCGGAGAAAGGAAGGACACCCAGAGGTACCTGTCATTACCCTGGAACCCTGCACTCCACCTGGAAGACTGTTTTTCCAAACCAATCTTGCTCTTTCTTTAGAAATGAACTTAGGAATAACAGGAGCCCTGAAGAGTGAGCAGCCTCAGGTCTGGGGATGGGTGCTGCTGACTTTTCTGCAGAGATAAGCAACATACAAGATCTCATCCCAGCAGCGCGGGGAGGAGCCAGCGCCTCCGCAGTGAACCTGGCTGCACATTCCCAAATGTGAGCTAAGTGGTGGTCTAGGAATGTCACATTCTGCTGAGGGAGTAATTAGCTCTAATGGATCCCTGGAAGCCACATCGTAGAGGACTGTGGTAATGGAGCTGTCACTTCTCAAAGAAATGATGCTATAATTGGGGGCTGTGCTTCTGACCCCAAATTTTGCATCAGTTTAATAACAGATATGGCCATTGACACGTATTCGTTAATTCATTGAGCAAACACTTGCTGAGGACAGCCTGAGTCCACATCAGTGCTCATGCCAGGTGATGGAGCTCGAGGTGGGATCCCTGGGGCTGCGGGAACCAAGGTCAGGCAGGGATGGCAGGGTCCTTTTGGGGTAGGGGTCTTCCTCCAGGGTTGAGAAGGGCATGATCTGAGCACTAGCAGGGTATGGACCTGGGGGGTTCAAGGGTGAGCAGACAAGCACAGAGTTGGGGCTAGGCCTGGGTCTGCCTCCCTGAGCCCTGATGGGTCACGGGGATGATGGCTGAGGAGGTTCTTATATCCAGCTTAGCCCAGCACCTCCTGGGCAAGCAGGAGAATCTAGGGGAGAGGAGGAGCAGGAGGGCTGCCTCACCACTGTGGAAAGAGTGCACGTGTACTGGCCATCTGAAGCCTCAGATCTAAATCAGACTGGTCCTCTGCAGGGCACCTATGTGTGGGAAGAGCTCAGCTGGCAGCAGTGGGAGGGGCTAACAGACCACGTGGACCCCTCTCTCCAAGGCCAACCCAGCCACTCATCTTGCTCAACACCATGGTGCACTCCCCATGAGTCCTGGGGTGAGTCAGGCTGTCCCAAAGCACCAGGAGCCCCTTTGATGCTGTCTGAACTGCTTCCCTGCTGACGCCTCTCAGTGGACCCTGGGGACACTGGACACCTCTTTGAGCCTCAAGTTCCTGACTTAGAGGTCATGGAAACTCAAGTACTTAGTATCATAAGGCAGCTGGAGGTGGGCACGGTGCCTCATAATACACTCACCAGCCTCCTCAGGACAGACAGGCATCTCTTGAGTGTGGGGCCTGCCCTCAGCTCAGATCCTTGCTCATGCCCAGGGCTCCCTTGCTTTGCAGGTCTTTCAAGCTCAGGCTTCCTGGTTTCCTGTATTCCTTGAGACAAACCATGGGAACCACATTGGCCAATATTTAGTGGGCACCCAGGAGATGATGGACCTCAAGTAATAAAATCTCTGTGTAGATGTCTGGTTCCCTGGGCCCTGCCTGGCAGGAGTCAGGAAAGCCTGCAGGAGGCACCAACCATGTGCCTCACTTCCGGGCACAGACAGGAAGCTTCAGAGCGTGGGAAGCAGCTGAGCTTGCTGCCTCGCTCTGTCTGTGTCCCCGATGCAGGCTGAGCCTTCGCTGCACATGGCTACACCCTACTAGAGGTGAAGCTTAGGAGATGGGTGGGTGCCCATCCTGGAATCTTTATAGAACGGGAAGGTTATAAAAAAGGTCAGGGGGCCTAGTATGGGACAGTGTGGTGCTGATGGACCAGCAAGTGAGGCCGGAGCTGCATCCTGGGTTTGTCCCTAGACCAGAGGCCTGTAGATCTCAGATGGGGGACAAGACACAGGGGAAGGCTGAAGAACCACAGACGGTTACAAAGTTAGGACCCTGACAAGCCGAAGTTGATGAGAGGCCACACCGAGGAGAGCCTCATATTTGGGTCTGAAAGATCAACTGCAGAGGAAGTGGTAGGGAAAGGTAGTGCCGGGCCAGGAGCCCAGTCTTGTCCTCTGGCCTATTGCCCAGCCTGGCCCCCCGTGCTTGCCTGGTGGCCTTGGGAGCCTGCATCAGAGTGGTGCCTGTACTCTTGCAGCCCGGAGTACAGACAGGTGGGCAAGGCAGCATCCTGACACTCAAATCACAATCATTGAAATCAAGCTGTCTATTTTAGGGTATAGGTCTGGAAACTGACTCCAGTGTGCATATGGGAGGGAAGCAGCCCCAGCATGCTGTCTGCTAGCCTTCAGGGCCTGGCCGTGCAGCCCTCCAACCTGTCCATGTTCTGCTCACCCTGTAACACATGACTGGCCTATGCCTCCTGCACCCATCTGGCGTTTGTGGGCTCCCCTGGCTCTTCCTACCCTTGGTAGATCTGGCTCCATTCTCCTTCCTGACCTCTCCTGGCCTGCGTGGGGGCTTTGCCCTCCCTGGTGTGGCAGGGTTAAACATCATTCTGGCACAGCCCACCTGTCTCCTGGGCCACTGGAGCAAAGCCGGATGCAGCTTTGGAGTCACGTGGCCCTGCCCATGCTAGGGCATCACCCCTTGTCCTGCAGTAACTTCCCCAATTAGCCTGACAGACCCTGGATTCAGAGGAACCGCCTCTGCCAACCATGACCCCATGGCAAGGGGGAGGGCTCCCCACTTCACACATGGAGCTCAAGGCCTCGAGAGGGGCTGACCTGCAGCTGAGAGCCTGGTGTTTTCCAACTGCCACGGCATCCTCTTCTGGTGAGAGGCCCTCCCTACCTGCACCTCTATAGCTGCCAAGGCAGCAGTGGGTGCAGGGAAGGGGTAGAAACACACCCACCATTCATTGCTGTGATGCCAGCCCAGGGTTCCAGTGCTCATCCTGGTCTCTCCAGGGCCTGCTTACCAGCGAGATGGCACCTTCTAGGAGGCTGGAATTTGTCTGCTCATTTATTTATATAAATAACATGGAGCAGACAGTTCCCATGAGAAGCTTGTGCAATGCTGGGAATCTCGCTGCTTGGTGTCAGGAACAGTCAGGTGATTTGTAACAAGGCGTGTTGGCCACCAGGCAGCTGGATACAGTCCCCGGGGTGGTGTGGAAGTCATTTCCTGGCCATTTGTGAGAAGAGAGTTCCTGCTCAGACAGGTCCCAATAGACTTAGAAAATAAACTGAAAAAGACCCAGTCAAAATGCCTGAAACCTGTGCTCTGGCCCCCAACCTCAGGTGGGGTCCCCCATTTGTGGGAGTGGTCAGCAGTGCTCAGGGCCTCATGCCTGCTTCACGCACCTTCTGCCTTACGCA